TTGTATTTTTTATTAAACATCTACATTTCTACATAAGGATATGGAGTATGTATATAACGATATGAGAATGGTTCTCTTCCATCTCAAAGTGAATTGTGACGAGCTACTGTTCATTCATCATTCATATAAAATACACATACACTTTCATTTCTCCTGTAATTTATTCTGTATTCTAAAAAAGGACCTACTATACTTTTAGACAAACACATCTCTACTGTGTTTTATTCTTATTTAGTCAACAATCCTATCTGTGCCTACCTAAAACCAAGTGCTATAGAACTCGTTGGAACTTACTTCCAAGTAAGCATGTACAGTATATGTTTGCATGTGGCCATCATTTCATTCAGGATCACCATGTTTCCATTATTCTTGTCATCTGCAGGATTTTTGACAATCTTGACTCATTCAGAACAAGTTGTGTGGTGAAGCAAGCAGCATGTACACCACCACTTTTCTTCTCTCTATTACTGCAGTAGATGAAAACACCAGGAATTCTTTATTCATTGTTATCATGTACACTGGAAACCTATCTTGGTGATTCCCATAAAATGATATTTGTTCTCAGCTTACAATTTCCAGCTCTTTTCAAAACTACAAAGCCAGGATACCCATTTCAAACAACAAATTGAACAAATCAGTCCTACTTTGTTTGGCAGTTATGAACATCAAAGTTACAATGTACATGCTGTGGACTTCATAGTAGCCCAGGATGCTCCAGAAAATAGGCTTATCATTTTATACAAGTGCAGCCACTTTCTGTTTTATGTGTTTTTTCTGCAAAACTGTCCATAACTTTACTCATAGTTTTTCTCATTTATTGCTATCTTAGGGATGCATCTATACTGTTGAATTAATACCACTTAACACTACTTTAACAGGCATGGATCAGTGCTAAGGAATCATGAGTTATATCATGATTCCATAGGATTGGGCCATGGCAGTTAAAGTGATTTCAAACTGCATTCATTCTTCAGTGTAGATTAAGCTTTACTGTACTTCTATGTCAACATTACAAAAAAACCCTCTGTTTTGGATGGTGTGAAGTTCTTTAAGAATAAGTGGGGAAATAATATATGATGTTTCTTCAAATATGTATGTTTCTTTAATTTGCAGTATCAGATATGATGTGATGTGACATCTAAAAAGCCAATGTGTTTCTAGGCAGTATCAATAGTATAGTGTCTAGATCGAAGGAGCTCAAAGTGTCCCTCTACTTTGGTCACACATTATCTGGAATACTCTGTCTAGTTCTGGGCTGCACAATTCAAGAAGAATAAGCTGAAATATTTCCAGAGAAGGGTGACCAAAATGATCAAAGCTTTGGAAGCTAAACCGTACAATGCTGACCATATTTAAATATTTGAAATGATTTCAAGTTCAGAAGCGGGCAAGCTTGTTTTCTACTGCTATGGATGTTAGGACACAATGGAACAATGGATTCAAATTACGGGAAAAAAGAGATTTTACCAAAACATTAGCAAGAACGTTGTGACAATAAGAGCAGTTCAGGAGTGGAATATGTTACCTGGAGGTCAAATGGAGTCTCTTTCCCTGGAGGTTTTTAAGCAGAGACAGGATGTACATTTATGTTCTTGCATGGCAGAGTACGGTTGGACTGGATGGCCCTTGTGATTTCTTTCAGCTCTAGAATTCTATGATTCTACGATGTAAAATGCTATTCCACTTATGAAATGTATTTTTAATTGGTAGGATGATTGACAGGGCATCAGATGTTTTTGCTTTCTCTTGCATGTGTGTTGCAAGCAGTTTTTAGTTTTCAGAATATGTTGGCTTGAATGTTATTTTGAATTTCTTTGGGAAAACCTTGAAGTTTTCACAAGAATGCAAACAAAACGTATCTGTTTTGCCTCCATCATTTTGTAGGCTATGAAAACAGGAAATGTGATGTAATTCCTCCCTGAGTACCATAATCTATATATCTTCATCATCTAGTTCACATTGAGAATGTCGGAAGGTTGCTAGGCAACTTCTCAATACTTTACCCCTTTCTCAACCAATGAAAAAGGGAAGTAGTCACTAAGCAAAGTAATAGTAGCTTTATTCTGTGATTTTGAACACTGTGAGAAATAGAACTTCTGATCTGTTTTCAGGCATTCTCTGTGACATAAGTCTTCTCAGAGTTCACTACATATGCTAGTTAAATGTTTCACATTGTCACCCATAAATTTGAATTCATTAGGAAGCCGATGGGCTGAATGCTCTGCATTGGTGTGGGTATGATCAAATTTAATTTGTTCCTGCTGTTCCAAAATAGTGGGTAAGATAGGAACTGTTTAGATAAAAGTTGCTTTATTATCCTGCACTACCAGCAGGTGAAAAACTGCAGGTTGGTTTTAAACTTCCTTTGTAAAATAACTTTGTGTTGCTTGACATTTTACACTTCCACAAAACTGAATATTTGCATTTTCAGATTGTGGCATCCTACATGGACATTTTTCATTTATGCTAACAAGAAAGGTTCACCAACCTTTGCTACCAAGAGGGTGACATAACTTGAAAGGTTTACTTATCAAAGATGATCTAAGTCACTCCAAAAGAACATACAGCTACAGTTTAAAATGTAATGTTGTACTTCTACAGAACTAATATTAGCTTGTTGAGATATATAAATATCTGGAAAAGGAATGTTAATAGAATTTAGAAGGAAGTGATGATGATGGTAATGATTATTATATTGAGAGAAGCCACATAACAGTAACGTTTTCTGTTTGCCACTGATTTTTGAAAAAATACGCAGGATGAGAATACTTTTGGACATTTCTAACCTTTCACAGAGCTATAGTCATGTATATACCTTAGATCACCACTTTTTAATCATGGGATCATGAAAACAGTGACAATAGTAAACATTTTCTGAATACCACCTCGTGGCTGTTTTAGACATTTAAACAAATTTATCGTGCAATATTTACAGTGGACTTTGCAGAAGATGCTTCAGCTTCAGCTTGCTTCACATAAAGGAAATTCAGCCTGTTTAGCAAGCCTTTGTTATCAGTAAATGTTTGATTTTTTTCTACCTATGTTATATACCATATACCTAGGTTCATGTAAACATTTCTCAAGTGAAAAAGGAGGCAAGTGGAAAAAGTTTAAGAAGCCCTGCCATATAGTACATGTATGACAGTTTTGTGTAAATAATCTTCTATACTATGATTAAACAACACATTGTGATTTGTCTACTGGCAAAATTGTTACTTAATTCAAAGTTGTCAGGATATGCAGAAAGAAAAAAATGTTGCTGCATCTGCTGGCAAAGCAAACATTAAAACTGATAAATTAAAACTGAGGTCGAGATCGAAATAGTTGTTTTCACTCAAACAAAAACAAGGTAGGGTGTTGCATGTTATTGCATATAGTGATGAATTAATGAGCACAGCATAAAAGAAAGTCAGAACCTAAGCTCTTATCAGTGTTTTCTCAATTTTATTTGCAAGAGGGTCATGTTTGAGATGAGGTCAAAGAGCGGTCTTCCCAAAAGACTTGTACTTGTTGCTTCTGTCTCATCTTTTTCCCTTTAGAACTTATGGCTGTTGTTTTTGAATGAATGACAATTTATCTGCTATGTAATCATTTTTAGATGTACAGTATTTATAAATCATGTTCCACCCACCAAGAATCCACTCAGACATGTGTAATTTGAAGCAATGTAATTACAGGACAGTGCTATTGAATAACAATACAATAAAATTGCAATAGAATAAACATAGAAATAAAATGTTAGTTAAAACAAGTCAAATCAATATTGACATCCATCAGAAGCTTACAGGATACTACAGTGCATGAAAAAAGGTTGGTGCACATTGAACTGCCAGTAAGGGCTCATTGTCTTAGCCACCCATGTGGACAATGTTGAGTTTTGGTGTGTTTTCACATTCAGGATAAGGGATATCCAATCCATATGGAAAATGATTACACGTTAATGTTCTTTTTAAAATGTTATATAGTTACAAGTTCCTTACTGAACTGTAAGGAACACCTGAACTATATTGAACCTACATGGTTTTGCCTATGTGAGGAGCAGCTAAAAACTTCATATAAAAATAGGACAGACCATAGAAATCAGTGGAACCTATGAAATTATTGTATCTCTAATGATTCCCCATACTGTATGGTAGATAGAATACCCACATAGAAAGAATAAAAAAAGAAATAAATACCAAGAATCAGAATGAGCTTATATTGTCCATAGTTTTGAATAAAACTTCCCTCTTTTTTTTTTTTTAAAAAAAAATCTTTTTGCAACAGTAAATCTGGCTTAAATTAAACATTGTGTTAAATGTTTATTCCTTATTCTGAAAAAAAGGTAATCCAGTTTTATGGAGTCGAATACAAAAACAAAATCTATACACATCCCAGCCCTGCACATTTCTACTCAGAGAAAAATTCATATCTGCTCTAAGGCTAAGACTTTCAGCATGATGAAATACTGTGTTGAAGTTAAAATATCTAATGTAGAGGGGCTTTCACTTCTGTTATATTTGATCTCCTGCTGTTTATTATAAAGGGGCTTTGAAAATGGCAAAGGATTGTGTCTTTTTAGCTTCTTTTCTTTAGGATTATAGCCTAAGTGATGTGAAATACAATATGACCCCACATCCATGGGGGATATTGTCCCAGACTTCATTTGTATACACGAAACAGTGGATAATAGATGAACCCTATTCAAATAAAGGATCTCCGGTCCAAAAATACTGTAACTCACACTCAAGAACCTAGAAAATGCTTAGATGGCGATATTTTGTCAGACATGGATAAATGACACCAGAATATGTTGAAACAACTTCAAGACATTCAGCTTGATATAAATAAATTTCAGTAGTCAGATGCAGTACTTACTTCTTATTACTTTTCATTGGAAACAAGCTTCTCAAGTTGGTCACAGAGAAGAAGGGGGAATTGAGGATGTGAAGTTCATGGAAATACAGCAATTGGGATGCATGACATGCATGCTGATCCTTATTCTCTTTTCCTGTCTACAGCACGCATTATAAAAACAAAACAATGGTGTGAAATGCTTCCATGTTTAGAAGGAGAAGGCTGTGATTTACTAATCAATAAATCAGGCTGGACCTGTACGCAACCAGGTGGACGAATAAAGACAACTACGGTAAGTTTTTTTTTTTGTTTGTTCTTGGTCCACTTTATGTTCTGAAACTTTTCAGAGAGTAAAAAATGTGAAAGAAGGAAAAGGTGCTTAGACTAATCATAAAATCCACAGATGTCATTCAGATATGTGTATATTTTTATGTAAGTGCATACATATATCTTTCAATAACATTTATAACTTATCCATTCTCATCCATGTCCTGGAAAGTGTTGTGCTTTTGGTTTTTTGTAATCTGGATTGATCTTGATAACAGCTCAGAAACATTAGATGGTCCAGAAAGTGGCTTTAAGACTTCTGCTCAGTGTAACCCTCTGGTGGCTCAGTCGACTTGATGTTTTACATGAGCGCCACTGATTCTTACTCTGGTTCTCAGCTAAATGCAAGGTGCCTTTGATCTTTAAATCTCTGGAGCCTTTCTTTCATATATCCATGATATAGTGCTTTAGCTGGCATTTTTGATGTGAGGTTATCTGTTATCAGAAATGGGTTATTTTCATGGTATTGACATCTGAAAGAAAAACTGTTTCTGTAGAAAGGCTTGTATGCCCAGTGTATTAGTGTTTTGACTTTTAGTGCTCCTGTTATATCTGGCATTTGTATAAGCTTCTTACTATCATTTGGCATTATGCTCTGAGATGAAGTCTTCATTGACAACATGTTTAATTGAATGTTTAACATTCAGTTTTAAGATGCCATTGATACTTTTATTTTGATTGTAAGCTGCTTTGAGCATTGCCTGGGTGGAAGAGTGAAAAGTAAATTATCTCCATCTGATGAGGGGGAGGAAGAGAGAATGGAAGAGAAAGAAGAATGTACTGTATGTGAATAATTTAGATCAAAAAACCAGTTTGATAAGCATCATGGCATCAAAATATGCCTGAAATCACATTCATGCTATCTTTACACCTCACTTCCCACCTGATCTTGATTGTCACTCAAATGGTAAAACATCCTACATAGCTTTTAAAATTTAGAATCCTCGTAGCAGGGTATGTTTCATTGACAAATTGCCTCCCACACAGAAAACCTATTTGAGATATAATTATTTTGGTTTTAATTTACTAACCTCTAAATTCCTGTCCCTTCTGCTTCTGTACATACTTTGGTGCCAACCCCAATTTTCTAGTATTTGTATTGCCTGATGAAAAATCAACCCTGATTTTCAAGATCCTTGTATTTCATGAATATATGGGGCCTCAGAGGCATCACTATAATTTTAGAGTGTGGTTACATGACCGTTTACTGAGGTTGAAACTAAACCTGCAGTTACATCATTTGGATTTATATCACTCTCCTCCTCCATCACTAATAAAGTGCTTGCTTGAAATAGTGAGAGGGGAGGGGTGAATCTCTCTTCTTCCTTCTGGAGGAAGACTCTGCTGCAGCCTTCTCTGATAATCAGGATCAAACCACTTCATACTGTATTTTTTTTTTCAAAAACACAGAGGACTAAGATATTGTTAGAAATTATTAGCACATGCAAAAAAGCATGGCTGTTGTTGCCTGTTGCTATTGTTGGCATCCTTGTCACTATGCTTGTCATGATTTTTTTACCGTTTCTCAGCTAAAGTCAGAGCTACTTTCATGACAACAATAAAAAATAACCCCAACCCCGTCCTTGAGCTTATAGTCTGATATACCATATAATTATGTAGCAGTTCTTAGAATGACAAGTTAGAAGGGGAAATTTTCATAGAATGCTGAAGCAAAATGTTGCTTGTGTATGAGCAGAAACAACAGAGCAGGTGTGGGGAAAGTGTGCTTACTTCAGAATCCAAATATCTTCCCCAAATATTTCCTATTGATACAGGACAGGCTGATTTTTTATAACCAGGTTTCCACCTCAGAAAGAATCCTCTCCTGGGTCTAAATCACTCACCACAACATTGTAAAAGCCCCCAATTCCTCATAGAGAGACATGGAGGCATTTTAAATAAGGGTGAGTGGCTGGGTGAGTAAAAATCAAATGAACAGCACTTTCCTCAAGTTTGTCCTGGATCCAAGAAGGATGCAGTTAATCCCAAAAGCTATATATTTATTAAGACGATTAACAAACAGAACTCTAAAATGTGCATCAAGGGTAAAACAATTCAGCATCTGCCTTCTTCAGTTGCCAAAGGTGAAACTGAACAGCATAATAGCTGGCTGTTGAGAATACTACTATACAGCTACTTTCATCTCTGGCAACTGAAAAAGGCAGAAGCGGAGATGTTTTACACCTGATATATATGTTTAAGTTCTTTTTGTTCATCGGTTCAATAAATACAGTATGGTACACACATCTATCCACAGAGGACACATTCCCAGAGCTTGCATGGATATGCAGAACTATTTGCAGATAATAGCAAATCTGTTAGAAATGAAGAGATTCTGGCCCCAAAATACCATGCAGTCTTACTGGACGAACGAGTATATGTGCAGAGAGGACATACCATTTTACCTCATAATAGTCACACTTCCCCCCTCCCCCTTTGGGGAGAAAGGGGCCTTGATTATTATATGATGAAAATATCGTGTAGCTGAAGGGTGCATACTTGTATGCCTTAGCAGGTGTATTGGATGGACATTTGCAGGGAGAGCTAGAAGTGTCAGTTAGCTGTCGGCAACTGAGGTAAGTCTGCTAGCTTTTGTTCCCTCTCCAACCCACACTCCTGCCTCTCAGAGCTACAAAGGATACTCCAAGGAGCAAGTGTGGAAGCAGAGGTGAGACTATTATGTGAGGAACTGTTAAATCCACAAACCACAAAACAGTGTGTGACTATTATGCGGTAGCAACTGAATTTCCAAAAAACCAAATAGACACTGCTTCCCATCTCTGCCATCATGAGTGTGCACACTATGTCCATGATATGTATTTATGAGAAAGGATAGTATCGTAATCTTCCACTAAAAAAAAAAGAAAACTTGAGATGGACTGGAGGTATTTTCAGGTGGATTTGAAGAATGACAAGAAGGTGGTAGCAAACTTTGGACTCTACACTGTATTGCTGCTGTATTTCACTATAGAAGCACGCTCTAAACTCATCCTGAAATAACTGCTTTGGCAATGAGTCTCTCAACTTGGTGCGTAGGAGAAGGGGCAGTTTCATTTTAATAATATGCAAAATTGTATCAGTTTCCCTATCAACAACTGCTTCTTTTCAATGTTTCAGGGATATAAGTTGGCAGTGTGTAAATGTGACGAGGCACCGTTTTGTTGGTGTTATAGGGGATATTAATTTTAGTACCAAAATGTGTATGTGTGTGTGTTGTCAATGATCCATCACTGTTTAATTGTTACTTAATTAATCCATTCTCCTACATGATGCAGTTTTGACGCATGGAACTTAACAGAACATTCATGCTCCAATTCCCCAGCAGCTAACCTTTTAAACTTCTGTGATTTTACTGCTAAATTGGCTGAAGTGGGAAATTAAAGAGTATGAAGAAGCTAAAAGAGAGCTCACACTAGATAAAGGGTGTAATTACTCTGACATAGAGCTCAGTGCTTTGCTAGTAAAATTTACTAAGAATCTAGCTTCACCAAGGGACATGCCTTTGTTAATAGAGTTTATTCACACACAGAGCAACTTAGCATTTCCAGCCATTAATATAAATGACATGCTGGCTGGGTTGGAAGGGTAATTTGTTCCTTACCCTGAGCTTTACTATACTATAGTTTGTTTCTACTGACAGGAGTCAGAGTGAAATAGTTCCCCCCTGCTACTATTCATATAAATTTCTCTTGTTCTCATGCATATGCACACACAATTTATTTCTGGGTTCAGTTATATAAAGCATATGGATTTGACTACCTAGCTATGGAGCACTGCAAGTAACTTCATATGTGTCACAAATCACATTCATTGAATTTTCTCTGATATCAGCTCATTATAAAGGAGTAGATCATAATTCTCTTGCAGAAATGATTAATGAAGTACTCTGTATTTGGCTAAAACAGAAGATGCTTACTTCAGTCAGAAATTGACCTCAGTCTGATAATGTAAATATCTGTTGATCTGCTTATTTGGTATGTGAGGACAACATGCCATTGATTGTTGTAGACATCACCTTTGGTTTAAACCTACACATTGGAATCACAGATCTCCATTGGTCATTAATTTAATGGCCACAGAGTTATAGCCTTCAGGTTTTTTTGTAAATTATATAATTTGCATGCAGTTTCTATCAACAAAATCTCTAATTGACAGTCTCAGCTTATACATGATATGAGATGTCCAATAGCTCACTAAACTTCTGCCTGTTACAGCAAGCAATACTGAGTTTAATACACAAGACAGTAATATATGGTGTGTCAGTGATGTATAGCACCCACTGATTATTGGTCCATTTACTCAAAATTATACTAATGCAGTTTAGCACCACTTTAACTGCTCTGGCTCAATGCTATAGAATTGTAGGAAGTTGTAGCATTACAAGGTCTTGAGCCTTCTCTGTCACAGTTCTGGTGGTCCCCCACCAAACTTCAATTCCCAAAATTCCATAACAATCAATTATGGCTGTTAATGTGGTTTAAACTGCATTAATTCTACAATGTATGTCATTGTAATCGGGGTACTGAATGGGTGTTATATATTCCAGAAAGAAGTCCCCAATCACCCCATTGAAGTGTTTCTGACAAGAACGGTGAACGTTGTTGCTTTGCAAGATGATTTGAGGTTTTTACTTGAGCCTCTTGCTAGTCCCATATACACATTCATATTTCAGATTCAACCAAACTTAGAGGGAAAACAATGCTACTTCACTGTGCAATACTATTCCAGTAATCATAAAAATACATTCCCAAGTCAAAGCTTCTATGCAATGATGCATTAATACTAGGCTTGAAAATAGCCTCTTGCCAGCTTTCATTTGTGAATATGCTGGCCCTAGGCAAAAAGCTTCTAGCCAACAGCTAGACTTGTAGCTATTCATCAGTACTTTAAGCTGCCCTCTTGAGTGATCTGTCTGAAGATTCAAAATGGGCAATTCATTATTAATTGGTTACTATTTAATGTAGG